GTTTGAGGGAGTTAAGAAATAGGGCATTAAGTTTTAGAGAGTGCCGCCTAGCATTATTTTACTTTATACTCATTTTAAATTTAAAAAGTTCAACAAATTTAACACCTTCTCGAGAAGCAAGAAAATTTTCCCTAGAGTTTGTAACTTTTACACAATCTCTAAACAACAAAAAATTTCAATCACTTTTAAAAACTTTTGAAATAGTGATAAATTTAAAGAGCGTTATCAAACCAAACTAAAAATAATTGAAATGTAAATTACGCTAATAGCAAATATAAGATTCCCTTTTACTTCAACCATAGAAATATTATAAATTTTCCATAGAAATATCATATATATATATATATATATATATATATATATATATATATATATATATATATATATATATATATATATATATATATATATATATATATATATATATATATATATATATATATATATATATATATATATATATATATATATATATATATATATATATATATATATATATATATATATATATATATATATATATATATATATATATATATAAGAAATTAGTTTACCAGCATAGCTAAATTGCGTGAAATTTTTATCCTTATGTGGCTTTGTAAAAAAGATTATATTTGTGCGAGACTTCTTTATGATGCTGATTCTATGATGTCAAATTGCTGTTATATTTAAGGTAAAGTATTTTATATACTTTTAAGTATATAACAAATACCATCAGTTAGATTAGATTGTATTTATTAGAACAAATAATACATGTTCTAAAAGACACGTAGGTCTATATTGATGGACACTAACAGCATGCCCCAAAATAAATTCTGTAACAGCGTACAACATTGAATAAATAAATTATAAACGATTAAAAGATTATTTTCTTTTACTTGACTAAATTATTTATTTACTAGTCGAGTAGGAAACATCGTAGTAGCAGAGCTATTGAGACGAGTTTCTTTCGTATCGAAGTACTACTCATACACTGAGTAGGCGGAGCCGGGATTTGAACCTGCAATCCTGTTGCTACTCCCAATAATTATTCCGAACTTTATAGCAGCGTTTTAACCAAGTGAGCTATCCCGTCTCACAACTAAACAATACGGTATGCAGTCAACGCTGACTTAACTTTACAAAACTGATTGAGTTCATTTTACTTTTAAAGATGTTGATATTATCAGAATTAACAACATTGAAAGGCAATTGATTCCAAATGTTATCAACTCGGTAAGAGAAATTAAATTTGCAAATATCTAGTCGACATGGTTGCTTGTGCATTTTATATTTATGCCCTCGCGTGATGTTTTTGTTGTCAATAAAAAAGAACATAGATTTATCAATTAAGACCAAGTTATGCAGAATTTTGAAGCAAGTTGATTAATTATGTTTTACCCGCCTTATCTCAAGCGACTCCAAATCAAGCAACTGAATTCGGTTATCGTAGGTTAAATTTCTTAGATGCAGAATTTCTTTTGTGAAACGTTTTTGCACATTCTCAACTATCTTTATTAGTTCAACATAATATGGCGATCAAAATGAGGAACAATATTCTAATAGGTCTAATATATGTATTGAAGGCGTTTACTAAAATACTAGGTTCGCGATACTTGAAGAATTTTAAAATTAGGTTTGCTCTGGTATTAGCTGCATGAACAACGTTTGAAATATGCTTTTTATAGTTTAGTTGAGAATGCAGAGTCACACCGAGATCTTTCGGAATAGAAGACCAAGCTAAAATATGATCTTTATGCTTATAGTTAAAGTTAATAGATTTTTTCGATAAAGCAGGCACAATCCTATGAACAAAACACTTACTGCTAAAAATAGTTAGTTGCCATGTTTCTGACCAAAGAACTACGTTATCAAGAACATTAACTAAGTGATGGCTATGGTCCATATTGCAAAATGAACTGTATAACTTGATGTCATCGGTATAAAACTTTAAAAAGCAATCAAGGTTGTTAACAATAGTGGTTATATCATTGATATATAGTAAAAATAATGTTGGGCCTAATACGCTACCCGGTGGAACTCCACTGACGATATGAGTTTTGATACTGAAATTCCAACCTTAACTCCTATTATTAAACAATCCAATTTGTTAAAAAAACTCTTATGTTAAATAGACCAAGTTTGGCTAATAATTTAGGATGGAATACAGAATCAAATGACTTTTGAAAGTCAATATCTAAAACATCTGTTGTTAGTTTACATAATGAGTTAATCTCCTAAATAGACTGGATTACAAATCAACTTTTCTTGTAATCAAGACAATAAAAATGTCTACCTCAAATGAAATTAAAAGAGAGAGACACAAAAATGTCTAATTTAACGAGCTCAAAAAGTTAGAACCAATTACTGATGAAAGAAATTAAGAGTCTAAACTTTACTTAAAATGGAGTAAAATAATCAAAACTATTGTTATTGCAGCTAACTAAATGCTAGATAAGTTAAAACGAGCATTTATTACAAATAAAACGAATACTTATAAATAAAGATGTCGAGGAAAAGATGATTTTTGAATCTTTTTTTCCTCAGTTTATTTATTTTTTTATATTTGATTTTGGAGTTAGTAAGGTTATTAGTGAAAAAACATTTTTTTGAAGAACTATATGCGCATGATGCTGATCATGAAGCAGTGAGAGAAGACATACTACACTAAATATAAAATGAGAGTATAACACAATTATGGTGAAATAGAAAATGATCATATGATTTGTAAATATCATATAAAATCAAGATAATTGTTTTATTATTCGTCAATTTTTATTAATTTTTTACTTTTATTTAAAAAAAAGTCGTTTTATAAAATAAAAGTGTTCATAGTTGTATCTTTGTCTATTTATGATATGTTTCAATACTTAATTATCATTTATTTATGATACATCAAGAGTAACTAACTATATTTGAGTAATTCTTAACATAAATTAATGTCTTTTACTGTATTCTAGAAAGTTTATAACAATAGTTTGATAGACAGCTTTGAGTAAAAACATGAAACTACAATAGTTGAGCTCAACAATAATTTTTCTTGCCAAAAAATTAATATAACTACTGAATGAATTTTTTACCGTGCTTTGATTGTACTAAAAAATGTAATCAGACATAAACATAAATAGTAATAAGTCATTTCTAGAAATAACCTTTTTTTTTTTTTTTTTAATTTTCCGTTTTTGTTACAATTAAAATCCGTAATAAAATACTCTTGTTCTTTCAAAAATAAACCAGTTATAAATATAAAAAATCAAAGACAAAATAATAAGAGTTAATTATAAAAAATATATATATAAAAATGCGGGAAACTTGCAGAAGACCATTAAGTCTTATCATCAAGAACCGTTGTAATAATTATGTTTTTACAATATTAAATTCCTATAATAGTGTTAAAAGCAAAACTTAATTAACTAAGGTAAATAGTATTAAAACCAAAAACTTTTTGATGTAAAAAAAAAAAAAAAAAAAGCAGTTTAAAAGAAATCAGTAATAAGATTTGTATAGTTTGAAATTTTCTTTTTTGTTAATTTTTGAAAGCAATTTATATTATTTACACCTGATAAATTACTATATTTTGCTAAGATTTTATTACAGAGGAGCATGATATGTAATTTTAAATTGTTCTTGTTTGGTTTTGCATAATGGTTCAATTAAGCCTGTTGTGGTAAAGTATATTTAATGCTAGGTTTTATTTCATAAAGATCATTAAAAATTTATTTATTATTCTTAAAGCATGTTTTTGTTTTCGATAAAGTGTTTCAAGCTTGCTTTTAGATGTACTACATCACGCAATATTTGCGTAATTCAAATAACTTTGTATAAAACTGAAATAGATTTGTTTTAGATTATGTTTATTTAGTAAATCCCGTGACTGATATAGAATGCCAATACTTTTTGATATTTTGCTGCCAATATAGGCAATATGTTTATTCCAGGTAATATTTTCGTCAATGTGAACACCAAGAAATTTTGTGACTCTTTCGCGACTAATTTCTGTGTTTTCAATAACTAGTTTTGAAAAAGAAATAAGAATTTTTTTTATTATTTTTTTTATAGGGTGGAATAATGAGAACTTTGTTTTATTTGAATTAATAGAGAGTTTATTTGCATTGAACCATAGTGAAATTTTATTTGCACAAAGAGTTGTCTAAGCCTCTAAATTGTCTAACCTCTAAGTTGTGTTACTGAGAGCTTAAATAAAAAGACCGCTTTAAATAATGGTCCATTAAACCAATGTAAGTTTTAAAACTCTTTACCTTGCATTTAAGTTATGATACCTACCAGCATTACTGCAGAGGCTAATTAACAACAATAAACATAAAAATCGTTAAATATTTATAGATTGATTTATTATAATAAATCGCTATATTAATCTTGAAATTTATATATATATATATATATATATATATATATATATATATATATATATATATATATATATATATATATATATATATATATATATATATATATATATATATATATATATATATATATATAGAAAGTGTTTGTTGTTTTGATAAATCGCGTAATGATTTCCCCCATCCATAATTACTTTGATTTAAATTTTTTTGATACCGATTTACGGCAGTTAGATACCTAGTTATGCCAAATATATCATTCAGAGTAATACACTTTTGAAAGGTTTATACAAATTCTGCCAGAATTTCTAAAATAAAAACTATTTGTTTGAAAAAACGTTTAATTTTTTTTTTTGTATAAAAATATATTATTTAACACTTTTACTAAAAATGTAGTTTTGTTATAGAACCTTTTATAGACGTTATTATTTTATAAAGATTCTTGTAGACCATATATAGTATTGTATGTAGACCGTATGTTAATGTTTGTAAACCCTATGTTATTGTATGTAGACTATATTTTATTGCATGTAAACCGTATGTTATTGTATACCGTTTTATTCATGTAGACTATATGCTAATCATCGTATATATTTTGTATCTTAATCACTGTATATTTTTTACTGAGATACTAACAGTTTGAACTATTTTATATAGATTAATGGATAATCATGCCACTGGTTCAAAATAAAAGCTCTCGCAGTATTAAATCTGTTCAAGATTACATTGATAACAAAGTACCTGAAAACTTCATACCTGGATGGAGTAACCCACCGCCTAACAATAAAAACGAAACACATAAAAGTTTAATTAATTTTTTACGGATCAGGCTCATCCCAAATAATCAAAACGAGAAAAATAAAAAAGGCGGAATTTCAAATAATTTTAAAAATTCAGATTCAAAGAAAAACAGTAATGGGTACTGTGACAAAAATTCAATTTACTATAAAGAAAGCAATTCTTCAGATAAAATGAAAAGACGAAGTTTTTCATTAAATCAATTATCTGCTCTAGAAGATTCATACGATTTAGTTTGCCTAAGTGAAAGACTGAAAGTAAATACTGTACAAAATGAGGGAAGTTCACATAGACTTCCGAAATCGTTTAAACCGACAAACAACATAAGCTTGTTACATCCTGAAATATTTGTGCCTATTAAAAGAAAAATTTCTAACATTGGTCGCAGTTATTCATTAACTAATTCAAATTTGTATTCTACCCCTATGAGTGAATTATGCCATCGAACTCGTAGTCAGTCATTATTTGATGACCAATTGAAGTTAAAAAAAAAGCTTTCTACCTTATCTCCTTGCAATCGGCTCACGGTTGGTAATCCATTGCCAGATGTTTTGAATGATTCTTTTGATACTAGTTTATTTCAAACTGATCTTAAAAAATGTTCTATTGAAAATATTTCCTCGTTGCAGCTAAATCACAATGATGAAAAGATTTCTGCGGAAAATTCTACGAGTCGATCCTTAGAAGTTAATGACACTGTTAATTGTAATACAGAAGATATCAGCCTTAATGAAAATAACAACTTACAAAATTGTTTTTTAAAACGTTCTTATAGTGAACTGCAATTAAATGTAAATAAAATAAATGTTTATTCAGTAATTCCTGAAATTCACGTTCAAGTAAATGACAGTTGCGTCAAACTAAACGATGATGAATCAAAACAAATTAATGAATCAAAAGCAAAATATGTAGTTATAGACAAAAGTAATGACTTCCAAAACGAGCAAAACTTATATCGTCCGCGAAGCCAGTCATTAACTATAAATAAGGGTAATGATGAAAAATTGCTTCAAAGCCCAACTTTACGTAGACAGTCTTGGAGTTCAAGTTTTTTAAAAGCAACATCATTGGTTGAATTGAATTGTAGAAAAATTAAAGTAATTAAAACAGAACAATATTTTGCGGTTCGAAAAAACTCGTATCACAAGTCTGACAACATGTATTGCATCCAAGGAAGTTCGAGTCAGACAACTAATAACGACCAAAGCAAAATAATTTTTCAACCTCTAAAATATGGCACAGATGGGCGAAAATTATCATTAAGTGAGAATTTAATTTCTAACTCATTTAAAAAAGATGAGGCAAACGAAGTAAATGCTAGTAATTTTCATTCAACTACCTCAACTTTAAATTCGTCTACTTTGACCAGTGATGAAACAAAAAAAAGTATTGAAAATAAGTTACGTTCAAATCTACCTAAAACGTTTCAAGCTGCAGTAATTGACCCACTTAGTGTTCGCGATAAAAAATCAATTAGAATTAAGAATAAAAATATTCAAAAACATAATGATAATTGTGAGGTAGAAAGCCGACCCAGATCTCCTTCTCTTTCATTTTTTCAAAGTTCTCCAAAAATAATACGAAAACGTTTTGCAAAAACTAGCGCGCTAGATTCTGAGAAAACTCATTCTTCTCATCTAGATTTACCGGAATTTTCCTCAAAAGTGGATAAACATATAGTTGATACACCAGCAATTGTTAAAAAAAGTAAAAAATGGCAAACCCGGCGAGTTAAAGAAAGACAGACATCTGAATCTTCTGATGTTGTTTATGTAACCGGGACTTCTGTATTTCAACGCGCTCTACGTTACACAAAAAGTTACGATGAAAGCTTGTTTCCGTGCAAAGAGCAATCATTTTCCCAGGCAGAATCCAATTTAACTACTAGTGAGGCGTCAATAGAAACTAAAAATAATTGTGTACTTGTACACGCTGAAAATATTAATGAAACAAACCTAAAAGTTATAGAAAGTAAAACAGAATTGCGTGGAGCAGATTGTTTAGATAATATTTGTTCTAAAAGATTTGAAAATATTGAAAATGAAAGCAGTTATTCAATAGGAGTACGAGAACAAAGTAAAACCTCTGATTATTATTCTACGTCATCTATGCCATCATGTTCGAACTTTTCTACAATAATACAAGCTGAACCTGGTGACTACAATAATAATAACAAAGTCTACAAAAGTAAATTTTCACATACATTGAAACAACACGTAAATGATTTAAAAAACAATTAATTTCTTATTGTTTAAACAATCATTAACTGTATTTATATTACATACACAACCCAAACACACACTTACGCATATATATATATATATATATATATATATATATATATATATATATATATATATATATATATATATATATATATATATATATATATATATATATATATATATATGTATATATATATATCTATACATATATATATATATATATGTATATATACATATATATATATACATATATATATATATATATATATATATATATATATATATATATATATATATATATATATATATATATATATATATATATATATATATATATATATATATATATATATATATATATATATATATGTATATATATATATATATATATACATATATATATATATATATATATATATATATATATATATATATATATATATATATATATATATATATATATATATATATATATATATATATATATATATATATATATGCGTTGTAATATACTAATATATATTAACTATATATTTTTTAGGTTTCATTATATTTTTAAATATTGTAATTTTTTTGTTAGATTATTTATTTGAAATACTTAATTACCGTCTTGACTTTTCTTGACTACAATATTATTTTAAAAAACTTTTGTTTCTGAACATATATGAAGGATATCTTTTTAACACTAAAAAACGCAACACCTATACATTTTCTGTTAGGGGTAAACAGTAACAACAAAGTTGCATTATTTTTATTAATAATGCAATTATGTTCTTATGTTAAAATACAAACTATGGATTCTTTAACTAAGAACCCATAATTTAATACTTTCTTGTTCAGCGAAGTTACCTAATTCTAGTTTTTGTGTTCTGCTCTGCATGACCTAGTGGGCACGGACGTAAAAAAGACGTATTTAAAATGTCTTCTAAACGTTTTGAACGTCTTTTGATTGTCTTTTGAACGTTTTGAACGTCTTCTTAACGTTCAAAAGACGTTTTTTTTTGGTCCGGTGCCTACTGGGGACATTGTAAAATGCGAACTTTACATTTTTTATCTAAATTTAATGCAACATTCTGTGCTGAAAGAAATCATTTCTTCAAAATTGTTATTGCTTCATTGAAGCCAGTTTGCAACTAGCTAAAAAAAACAACAATTTGTTATACACGACAAAATTCTTTCATTTACAAACAGTGAAAACACACAATTTAACTTTTAAATTTTGCTACCTAAAAAAAAAGAAGAGGAAAGGAGCTAACCACCTGCAATGTATCTTCATAAATTATAAAAAGTTTTTTAATAAATTGTGGGGCCATGATGCAGTGGTTAGATTTTTGGCTCTGAACCAAGTGGTGCCCGGTTAAACGCTGGCTTAAACCCAATAGGTGGTGGTAGGTGGTGGTAGGTGGTGAGGAAAGAGGCGTAATCTTCCTAGTTAAATGCTCTTCCTTGGTGCTCTGTGATCTTGTGTTCTTAGTGTTCTGTGATAAGGTCTTAAGGACTTTTGGGAGTACTTTAGTAGTTATAATCATTTATAGACATTATAACAATTAATGTTTTTGAAAAAAATATCTAAAATCGATTTTTATGTCTTGATATAACGATCATAAAAAAAGTAGATAAAAGGTTTATCTAATAATTGGCATTGTAACGGGCATACTTGCTTAAAAATATCATTTTAAAATTTATATAAATGTGATAATATGGGTTGACATTAATAAATCTTTGAGAGTTAACAGAAGAATAGCCCTTCTTAACTTTAAGAGTTGTGTATTGGTGGATCAAGCCATTAACAAAATTGCAATTGAAGCTAATTAATTGAAAGATACGGATTTGCTTTTAAGCGCAAAAAAATTCAAAAACCAAACAAAAGAAAACTAATGTGCACCTAATATGGTTTCAAAATGTCACCATTTCGGTTGTGCTGAATGTCGATTGTAATATGTGTTTCATTTTTTCAAGGCAATATATCGATTGTAAAAATTAGGGAGTAAGGACAGCTTTCATTAGGTAATATCCCCATTAGGTATTATCCCCAAAGACACTTTTCATTAGGTATTATCCCCTTTCAGATTTAAAGTTAAGTTTACCTTTTTATTGTAAACTTTTATAATGCTGAAAAAATTATAATTAAATAAAAAATAAATAAATAAATTTAGGTAATCTTTTACATATTTTTTTAAAATCAGGACGTTTAAACAAATAAATAAATGCAATACATAACTAGATTGACATTTAAGACGTTTCTAAAACAATCATAATTTTGTTTTTGTTTTACATATTTAAAAATATTTTTAATCGTCGTAATAAAGTGAACTGTATTTGCATCAACAGAAAACAATACAAACACTTTGGTCTCTAATCGTCGACATAATGTGAAATTTGTTTGCATTAAACAGTACAAAAAGTATAAAAAGAGGGGGAGTATAATAAAAAGAGGATTTAAGTATAGATATTTTTTTATAATCCATAAGTATAGGTGATATGTATAAGTTTTGGAAAGTCATTAATATAACTTAGTAAGAAGAGGTGGGGAAGAATCCTAGTGGTGATATTCATATTAAAGTTTAGTGGTTTATTAATAAAAAAAAATTCAATAAAAAAAAAAAAAAATTTACTTTAGATTAAATTTCATACGTTTTTGATACAAGATTAGATCAGAAAAATTTCGACATCCTTTTATTTGTGATTTTTTAAATGTAGACGCCCTAGTACTTTTGATTTTTCGAATGTAGATATAAAATCACAATTAGGCACTAAGAGCACCAGAAAACCTTTTTTATTTATTTTTAAAATTTATTTTAAAAATAAATAAAAAATTTATTTTTAAATGTAGACACAAAATCACAATTAGAGGACCAAACTTTTTCAAAAATTTTTTATTTAACTTTAAAATATAAAACATTTAAAAACTTTAAATTTGTGTTTCAAAATAGGAAGTTCCAAAACTCAATAAATAATTATTTTAGTTGCTAAATAAATAAAGTCATAAAGTTTTTTATAAAACATTAAAAGAATTTTATGTTTTTGTATTTGATAAAATTATTACTTTGTCTTTAAACAATGAAGTCATTAATTTGTTAACTGAATTTAGAGTTGAGGTTAAATGAGTTTGTTAAAATGCCAAGCAATGGTTTAGAGTTTTTACAAGAGATGTTTATAAAAAAACATTTAAAAGAGTTATTTACAAAAGATGTTTGCAAAAGATATATTCAAACTTATTTATAAAAGTTATTTGTTATAAATTTTGGTTTATAAAAAGAAACTAAAGATAAATAAAATTTTTTTTTATCTCATTAGCCAGGTAATACGTTTATGGAATCAAAGGAAAAACAACGAGAAGAAGTGTTGAATATTTCTATATTAAAACTACTACGACTTGGAAAAAAAGCTGGGTACGAAGGGTTACGAAGATGCGTTGCTATAACAAATACAGTCAGGTATATAGAAAGTGAATTAAATGCAGAATGGATGAATGAATTAGAAGATTTAATGGAAAATGAAATTTTGACCACCCCAAAGAATATGATTAATGATGTAAGCAATATAAGTTATTCAAAGACAACAGAACAAAATACGACAGCAGAATTGTAACAACAATAGAACCGAAAGCATAGTAGACTTATATAGTAAACTTTAAAAACTTTAATCTTTACAAGTTTACTCATATTTTAGAAAACTATAATATAAGTTAGATGATAAAAGAATTTTGAAATAAATTAAATAAGCTTTATATATATATTGCAGCAAAGCTAAATGAAAAAAATTAGAATAATTTATATTTTTTACGTTTTTGACACCTTACATAGATTTTTACATTTTTGTTCTCATTGGATATACGATACTGAAGACTTTTCTTTTTTTGCAAAAGCCTCTCTAATGTCCAGAAGACCATAATTAGAATCATACTTTTTAAATTTTAGAAATTTGAACGCGAGCAAACTATTTCTTTAAGTATTAAGATATTATTAAAAAACGTAAATAGTTTTAATTATAATGGTAACATAACAATTGCAAAACCGCATCTCTGCTGCACTATTTTCTTTTAATGTTAAGTAATACCATGCTGAAAGAATATTCTTAGAGTACATTGACCTGATCAAATGTATCCATTGTTTCAATCTTTTATATTTAAAGAGGATAATGGATGGTATGCTGTTACCCATTGCATTTCCACAGAAAACAATGGTTACATTTCAGCATGTTCCAAAGCTAGTATAGACTCAGTTTACACCTTTTTGTGCTAAATCTTGTTGATATATTATTGTGAAGTATTATTTGACAGCTGTTATTATCAATGTTGTAAATTTGAGCAGGTTTACAATGCAGAGTCTACTTCTCTATTATTTTTTCAATTTTTTAAAACAAACTTTTACCAGATATATGCTAAGTTTCTGTGCTCTGACATAATTTAACTTTAAACTCTTTCTCAAAAAAATATCTACATTACGTTCCATAAATCCTTTTAACAAGTCAACCTATTAACCAGTCATTCTATTAACCTAACTTTGTTATCCTATCCTAAATCCTATTAATCAGGTAATCCTGCTAACCTAACTTTGTTGACAAAAATGATACACAGATCTTGTTGCGTTAAAGCAGCAGCCAGTAGGTTTCTTCTTATTGTATATATAGTGGAGCGCGAAGTCACTCTCGCTCTCTTACGGTTCTCTCTTTTGGCCTTTACGGTTCCTACGTCTCTTACAATGAGCACTTGGCGTAATCCAAGTTATAATTGTAAATAACGGTAAAAACTATTGATGAATGACATAGAGCTTTCTTTTGAAGTATTACAGGTTTCTACCTATAAACTTACCCAACGATTTGAATTTTGTCATTCTTAGCTTGGCGATCTTAGAAAGGATCCCTTGTTATTGCTTCAATTCTTATTTTAAAAAAATTTATGATTTATAAAAATTCTTCTGATATTTCAAAGTTAGTTTAAAAGGAAAGCTTTAGGATTATGCATTTATTTAAAAAACTTAGTTTTTATTATATCTAATATTTAAAATTAAAATATAAGATATAATAAACTATTTTTTTTCTTTTTGGTTTTAAGTGCCCCAAGAAGACTTATCAATCCT